CGTGCTCGAGTAGACATTGACGTATGCAAACCCATGATATGTCACAACAGTCTGTGCAAGGCGGTGGTTTTGACAATCTGCTACAAAAACCATCTCCTGTCATGAATGCCACGTGAGCATCCATGAAGTCCAATCCCATGTCAATCGTGTCAGCGCACATGGAGCATAACAGGCATGTTTTGCCCTGGCGTGGCAGGCGCAAAATCGCTACTTCGTTCTTGACCTTCCTTGGTCGACTTGCAAACCGTGCTCAGGGCTGAAGTCCATTATACCACAACACCAGACCTTCGGTCCTGGGATTCAAGAAGCAGGGTGCAAGGCAAAGGCGGCTGTTCCGTGCCGTACGCACAGACAGCACTAACACTCGACAACTACAGAGGCAGAGTTGGGCACAGCTCTGCACAGGCACAACAGAATATACACATCGAAAGTTCAGCGACATATGCACAGGCCCCGATGGCTTTTAAGGTCACAGAAGCTTCAGCCGGGGACCTTGCGCAGAAGCAAGCATATCCCGTCCCACACGGCGCAAAATCAAGCCTGTGGGTTCCCGACATGAAATGAAGCTCCACCTGCACATGCGCCAGTCCTTGAATAAGCCCAACATGCAGCACACATGCACCATGCCATGCACTTTGAACTCGGAGGTGCTGAGGCTTGGACCCAGACACATATGTCGACATCACGCACTGGCTCCCTGATGCTGCATGCGGCAGGAAAGGAGGCCAACGTTTGCCAAGCAGTCTATGTTCAATGGATTTCTGGGTCAGTGGCCGATCCGAGTCCTGACATGGCTCGTGTCGATGGGACCTGAGATTCAGCAGCATAAATTGACTCGGAGACAAAGCCGACAAAGGGAGCTGTTGAAGCTTCACTGCTACGGCGTGGGTTTTGTTCACACGATTGTCTTGCGATTGCACATGCACGTAATGCGTTCAAACGAGGAACCGAGGGCATGCTTGAAGTGACGACCGACCTGGAGGAGGAAGTATTCCGAGCGCCTGTTCCTATCGCTGAGCACCTTTGTTTTCGAAACTCTGACAACTTGCCTGTGTATTCTTATCGAAGTCCTCGATGGCCGTGTAAGCTGAAACAAGGCAGTCATCCAGAAAGGATCGTAGGACAATAGTCTAGCAACAGCAGACATAACGACGACCGTAAAAAGCCAACTTACACCGTGCTGGCTCGTACTTATGAGTGCTACCGAAATCGCAGTTTCCATCGACGTTGTGCTACAAGAAACAAACAGCAAGCACAACTAAGCCCGCTGCGGGCTGTGGTTCATGTCCAGCTGTGGGGGGGCAAGGCGCTTTGCGATCGTGGGGATTTTTTTGATGCGTCTGTTTGTTTTTAGCGTGGTCGTCATCATGGGCGCCCGTGGTGACACCGGCGGTGCCACCGGCGACGGTGTGTTGGGCATCCAGTCCTTGTAAAGCGAAGTGTGACCGGAGCAACGATATTAATGGATGCACTCAGGGCTGAGCATAGGAGGGGCCAGCCCGGCCAGCCAAAACCCTCTTGGTTTCCTCCGCACGCAAGTTGACATACACATGCACGTGCCCGGAGCGGGCTACAAGAATGCTTGAAGATCCAAACATGCATACAACCAAGCATGCATCCATGACGCCTGCCTGCGGGGTAAGAGGTTCATATAGGTCCAGCACTTGAAGCGATACCTTTGAATCGAGATGGGGTTTCGAGAAATGTTTGAGACATAAGTGAAAGTTGAGCTGGCGGCTGCAGCGGGACAGCTTTTGGAACGGCGCCGCCATCCTCTCCGAAAGACGGCGGTGATTCATGAAGGTAGTATCCGATTTAGCATCCCGTCCCAAAAATGCCAAAAGCAGCCCTCTCAGGGATGGACCACAGCGGCTCACCAAACTTTCTCGTGCCCTGCGAAGAAGCATGCTGCGTTCGAGTTTGATGTACTCAAGGTTCGGCCGATAGTCACAGTGCTCCCACCTCGCAGTTGACATCCTGGAGGAGAGCCTTTCACAGGGCCTACTCGTGACAGCCTTATGCAAAAACTTCAAGACCACAATGCTGACTACTGACTACAAGCTTGACAGGCAAGCCTTGTAAGAAAACATGAGAAGACTGCCGCATAGAAGACAACACTCAACTGGTGTCATTGTTGTGGGAATGATCAGCAAGGGATTTTTTAAGGCCACCAAGTCAGCCAGGCTACGCAATTCAAGAGGTAAACCAGGTGCATATATTCATACATTGAACAGCGTGCAAACACAGGGAGAATGTCTCGTATCTTCGCGTTCCCTGCTTGGCGTGCGAGTTCATGAAAACGTTAAATCCAGGTGACCAGATCTTCAAGCAGAGGGTGAAGAAACCCGCGCCTTCCACGAAAGGGCGGAAAGGGCCCGCCACTACAGGCAAAGCCAAACAGCTGCAGACGTCACACAACATTCCCGAAGCTAAGATGCACAGCTGTTTGCGCTGACCCGCTTGTGTAATTGATGCTATTCCGGCATGAAGACTCTCAGCCTCAGACATGCGCAGCTTCCGATGAACGGACCTCCTGGCGATTCGTATAATATGCACAAACAGCATTGCTTCTTCTTCTTCTTCACGCCAGCTCTGCTGCATCGAGTGTTGACAGTGCACATCCGAGTGCATGCGAGATTTTGGGGTTTCTGTGAATTCGCGAACCCGATGACTCTTCAAGGTCCATGTTGAGTATCTCATGTTACATGACCCTGGCGTCTTAGGCTCCGAAACAGAAAGCACATCTGGTCATGATCGACCACACAAGATCAAGGCTTGCTCGCTTTCGCTGGGCAAGACCGTATCCTGGTCAGAGCTCTTAAATTGACAAAGCCCGACATAGCGCCTTCTTCAGCGATAAATGGCGATAAATACTATCATCTCGCCAATCCTTTTAAGGATTCTTTGTGCTTCACGCGAAAGTTGTTCCTGTACGAGCTAAGACTTTGGCGTTTTTGCGCGGCCACGCGCAGAGGCTTGGAAGGCTTCCGTGCATGTGCTCGAGAATGACGCTGTAATCTAAGATGGTCTGACAAAGCAGAACTGAAATCTGACCTCAAATGCTTTGCTGCCCGTCCACATACAGGATTTTACCTGAGCCGTTTAGCTGGTCTGGGTTTGGACAATCGCGGCACAAACAGTCGCACGAGCTGGGGCGGCACTAAGCGCCAGGCAGCCGCGGTCTGGCTGCGTCCCATCTGCTAAGCGTCCTGCAACTCAACCATTCCTGGAAAGCGGACGACTGTGAATGGAAGGCCCGGACTTCCACAGTTGGTAGCCAAGGTAGCCCGTGTAGGTATTCAGGACCTCATCACGTCAGCAAAGCTTTCAAAAGGGAAGTTAAGTTTCTGACAGGACCCTGCGTGAAAGCTGGAGTTCTCA